TCGATAATACTCCTAGTGTATGGATCATCTAACTGCTGGGTTCTGGTCTCTGCAGCCGATTTATTAGGTAGCAAAATAGTAACTGTGTCGACAGCTATAAGTTTATTATCCGAGTCAATGGGTGGTCTTGATAATGTATCTGCGACGACATTCGTACATCCTGATATGTAGTCAATCTTGAGGTCGAAATCTTGCAGTTGAAGTGCCACCTGGCCAATCTACCAGTTGGTGATTTTAATGTCATAAGCCATCGGAGAGGTTGATGATCAGTTTTGACATAAATTGGTATACCTTCTATGTATCCGCGAAACTTGTTGACTGCGTAGACAAGTGCAAGGGCTTCCCGATCAGTACAGCTATAGTTCTTCTCGGCCGCAGTAAGTAAACGACTTTCGTTTTGAAACGTTGCTGGAGCCGTGGATAGACCAAAAGGCATCGTCTTATATCGATAAAGTCAAAATGGCGTGACAAAGGCGATTTTATTACGATCTTCTTCTCTGACAGGTACTCGATGATAACCACTTTTCTGGTCTAAGGTGGTTATGTAGTTAGCTTTTCCAGTTGAACGGATGATGTCATCTATATGAGGCAACGGGTAACGAACATTTTTGGTGACAGCATTCAGTCGGCGATAATCAACACAAAGAGGTGAAGTTACGTCCTTCTTCGGTACAAGGACGACTGGAAATGCGTACGGCGATTCGCTTTCTTCAATGATATCGCTGGCAAGAAGTTTGTCAAGCTCCTGACGCAAAACTTCTTTCTTCGCAGGAGATAAGTGATATGGTGGTGCAGCTATGGGAATATTATCAGTGAGGATGATGGTATGCTCAGCATATGGGGTAACGCTTGTATTTTCATCGAACAAATCCTTGTTATATTCCAACAGCGATTTCAATGTCCCGTCTTCAATATTGGAAAGAGTCGCCACGAAAAATCATTCCCGTTAACAACAGACAAAACTGCGTTGGAATCAATAACTTCATCCTGTAATGGCAAGGAATTGCTTGGATCATCATTGAAATAGTATATCTTCTTAGGTATATTGAGCACTATATCGAATTGTGATATGAAATCAACACCAAGTAAAGTTTTACTATCTTTGTAGTTTGGAACAGCAATCATTTGCAGTTTTCGTTGTTTATTCATAACTTCGATGGAACACTGGTACATCTTTGCTTCAACTTCAGCAGTTTTGAATGGATGCCGAATAGCATCTAAGTGGCTTAACAACTTTGAACCTGCAATACTGCATCTTGCTCCGGAATCCACAAAAGCAAAACCTGATTTACTTTGAATGATGACAGGTATCATGGGTCTTAAAGGCGGACCATCAAACGTTGATAACAAACTGGAAGGTTCAGAGAGATCAGCGGCGAGCATTTCGACAGAGGAAATGGTTGTTGGTGCAGGTTTACATTGAGGACAATTGGAACGAATATATCCTGGATTACCGCAACCATAACATGTTACATTTGTGGAGGACGGGTTACTGGATCAGACTGTTAGAACAGAAGTAGTGGACGAGGCTTTTTCAGCAGACTTGGCTTTTCCTGCAAACAGCTTGAACATGTCCATATGCTTTGCAAAATGCACACCGGTCTTTGGACTTTTCTGCAACGGGCGTGGAAGTCACTTTTACGTTGGATTCAGCAAGGCTGGGCCGGTATTCTTGTTCTCGAAATCGCTCACCGCTTTTCATTCCTTTACATTAGAAGTGCCGAGCGACTAAAAAACGGTGAGCGTTTTCGAGAACGAGAATACCGGCCCTGGATTCGATTGCTCTGCATTTGTCGATTATCTCCGAAAAGTTCTGGGAACTATGTCGAGGAAGTTTTTTCCTGGTTCTATGGTGAAGGAGTCCATAAACCATTTCTAACTTGTGCTCGTCTGGCAAGGGTGTGATTGTTGTCAATTTTGGAAGCACTGCACGGTCCTGATTCACGAAAAGATCCGTTCGTTTCGTACTGCCTTGTTCTCGAGAAAACAGTTCTCTATAAATCTGATGTGCTGGTTCGTTAAAGCCGAAAGCATGACGTAGCGCATCTAAAACTTCAGTCCATAAGATGTTTGGCTTTTTGATGCCTTGCCACCATACTGCAGCAGCGCCATCCAGTAGCATGGGTAAACCTTTTACAGCGTTATCGCCACTGATGTTCAGACAGTCTTTGTAAATAGTAATGGCATCAATAAAAGCTTCAGCACTTAGTCTGGCTTTCCAGAAAACCTTGAGCCGCATTTAGAAAAATTCACAGCTAAACTTTGGTTCGAAGTAGATTGTGGCGTATTCTGAAACATATCTCTCATACCAGCGAGTAATGTTTTTGATTTGGATTTTTTTGGGACGATCGAAGAGGCATATACAGGAAAATCCAGCTTGGAGTAAGCTAAGTGATGGAAATGTAGTGTTCAGAAACAGCAAACTCGGATAAATCCTGACAAACAGGCGACTGTAATGTAGGAACCCTTTGAACAAACTTGGACGGACACACAGGAAACTGTAATGTCGGTTTGTGTGGAATATTCCAGAAATTGTGGGTACAATATCCGAATGTGGCAAAACTCACACAATTCAGTCAATTAATGCACATTTACATACCTATAATGTCTCGCGTTCTATAGTTCATTGATCTACAGTCACAAAATTAGTCCAGAAAGTCATTGGGGTAGTGGTTCACTAGAAAACCCTAGGCCCCACGTTGGGCGCCAAATATGTAGCGGTTATCGAAGGGAACTCCAACACTATGCACTATAAATGTTTTTTAATGTTTTCATTTAACAATTTAACTGAAAAAAAAATACAAAGTCGGCATAATAATAGCAATAATAACTGATAATTGATAATGAAAAGTGCTTCTTTCTGGTGGAGTACTGCCCACCTTTAGAACTACTTTTCTCTGAACGATTTAATCTTAACGGGTTCAAACGGAGGGTAATCGTCTAATTTCTTCCGGTCATGGTATCACTTAGGTAATATAGACTTTGTCTTTGCGAGAGGACCAATATTAAAAAAGAACAAAGATAGAAATGTTTTACAAATCACCAAACTTTCGGGACTTAAATATAAAAAATTCCTATAGCCTAATTTGACGGATCCTCCACCACTGGATCGCGAAGACGTTTCAGTTTGTAGTTTTTATAGCCGGAAACGATCGTTCGGCCGGAAAATTGAATGATTTTCCAAATTGGCCCGTTCAAACACAGATTCGAAAGCAGGCAAGCAAGAGCGCGGGGCGCGTTTTTTTCTTATTCCGAATTAATGGGGGATTTGCCCGCGGTTTGTATAATGCCTCTTCAATTTCCGTTATTGTTTCAATTATGGCAGCGGGGATATACCCAGGAAAAAAAAAAGGTAACATTTTTCAATTTGAAGTACCATAATTAAAAATGCCGGGAATCGTGCACAAAAGGGAAAATTATAACGTTTGTAACCCAAGTACCCGTATTATTATTATCAAGATCTGTCAATTACGTCATTATCATGGCATAAGTGGCCTTGGCAAAAGGTGAACACATGCGGGTTCATTATACATAGTTGAGAGGGTAATGAGTAATTAGACGAAATTTGAAGAATTGTTAAGTGTGGAACGATTAGACGGTCTTTTATTGCTGGATTTGAAAAGATCTTTTGGGTCAAGCACCAAAATTTAAACGTCGCGCCGTAGATTTAATAATGTTGAATTGTTAAAGGAATAATATTATGAAATCCTCCATGTTGCTTTATATGCGGTTCAAACATTAGATTTAGTAATTTTTTTAGAAGTTTTATCGTCTGTTATATAATTTACACTGTGTTCAGTCGAGGCAAGAAAATTTTTCATCAATTTTAATTGAAACGTCTGCATGCCACTAAAATGGAACACAGTGTAAATTATATTTATTAACAAAGGATCAAATGTCTTCCCAATTGATTATTATGATCGTCCATCTACTCTATAATAATTGGTAAATGTTATGATACACAGACACGTACGTATCGAATTCCCAAATACGCCAATCGCATATTTATACCCATCTAGGGGGAGAATGAAGACAGATGCTCGCCAGGGCGGAACTTTAACCGAATAACATAGAAAAATTGAGGAAATTCCGTGAGAAGCCTCGGCGGTCATTTTTTAGAATTTTCCTTTGAGGACGCCCGAGATGGATGCGATGGCGTGCAGGGAAACAGAGGATGGATTGATAGCGAGACGTAATGAAAATCGGGGCGATTTTTCACCCGGGAAAGTAAAGACATGTTCGGAATTGTCTGTATGCCAGGTCCTGGGAAATAATAGAGATATGTCAAGAGAAGATATAAAATAATACCATACACCTGACTAAATTTATAGGTACATTAATGGATTTTACGAAGCCTTAAATCCTTATAAAAAATATTTTCTCAAGTAAAAGGTAATTATTTTTCATACTATTAATCAACCCCAAAAGGCTCATTTTACCACAAAAAAAAAAATCTAAGAAAAACCGAACATATTTATTGCTTAAATTGATAAATATCCCAATTAAGGGCAAAAACTCTGGGCTCTTTTAATATCGGTGCATAAAAAATAGCGATTTAATCCCCTTTATAGCGAAAAATTGCTAATTTAAATCGAGCTCGGCGAGGAAACGCAGTATAAATTATCGAAATTATTATATTAAAAAATCCATCTGAGAAGAAAATTTAACTGATCGCTCGCGCCGCAGGCACTTTTCCGCTTTAAAAAAAAAACTGCCTGGAAGATTAGGTTCGGGTCTTTTCAGTAATTGCCGATTAAAGATAGGCAGACTGAAGGTAAGATTTAGTCTTGCTGATTCAGGAAAGGTTAAGTTCAAAATTATATTTGAGAAATCTGATGGAAAACGATCCTTGTTGGCATTTGTAGGACATGACACACCACTAATACCGTTATGATTAAATTTTTGACTGATCCATGATAAGTTTTGCTTCTCACATTCAACGCTTAATTTTCCGACTGCTTGGTGAAAAAAACAATACTGTATGGATTTATCTTTTCCAGAAACTGGTTCCAGATCATCAACCACTCTTCACACCAGAACTTTTAATCGTAAATGACTCGGGAAGCTTCCTAGCAGTAGCTGGACCTAATGGGGTTTTAGTTATACAGTTGCCCATCAGATGTCCGCCCTATGGGGCTTTCAAAAATAACGAAGAACTTGTTGCTTGCAGGTAAGTCATCCAATTTATAATTAGAAACAGCTTTAAATTACTAAATAATTTTCATAATTTCAAAGTGTATGACAGTCAGACAATATAAATATAAATTGGAAACTACATTATGTCCCTTGCTTAAATTCTGGCCGCAGTACCGCAGTTTATTAATCCGTCATTAGGCTGCTTCACACACACAAATAAGTCCCAAAGCAACCTGTCAATTTCCGGGGGCTTATTTATAATAAAGTCGTCGGTAAAACGGGGGAAAACAGGGAAAACCTCCCCGAAACTGTGTATCTTATAATCAACACCTGATTATTTATTCATTAATTAATCTATCTATACAGACACCCCCTGAATTACCTGGAGTTTACCCAAAGTTTACTCTCGACTTTACACCTTATTCGGTTCGGTTTTGTGTCGATTTATGTGTGGTTTTGTAAAGGATTTTCATTGGGTAAATAAAAACAAGGTGTTTGGTAATTTTTGTCCTTTACTATGAAGTTTCTGAGTATTTGCATCTTCAAGACTCTCCCCAATATTAATGAAGCATTAAATATTTTATTTCTCTTTCTTTACCCCCTTGAGCCCTTCCACTCAGTCAACTGCTAAGGATTATTAAGAGTGATTTAATTAGAAGAGATTTAATTAAGGTGTCGTCTGTTGCCCTGCTGTAACTACCTTTTGCCATTAACCTCTATCATTCAAATTAAAAAAATGTTACCATGAAAAAAAAAATCAAACGGTAATACATAATGTCGAATATCTCCTTGACACACAATGTTCCCGCAAACACAGCGAATTGGGCACCGAACTACTCCCCGTTTGGCTTTTGCCGATAAAAATCCGGCAACCCTTTTAAATTAAAAATTAGCCACCTTCGTGTTTGAACAAGGCCCCGCGTCGAAAATCGGAATTTTATCGCGCTCAGAGTTTTTTTTTTCTGATATTTATTGTATTTGTTCTTCGTCTAAATGGCGGTATGGAAAAATGCGGCGCGATATTGTCAGAAAAAAAAAATCGTTTTGGAATATGGCGGTTTATGAATTTGTGTTCTCGAACGTTGTGTAAATTTGATTTCTGTTTGTTTTGGGTTTTTATTTTTTTTTATGAGCGTGCGGAAACGGTAATGTTTTTCAGGCGAAGTTGAATTATTAGAAAAGTTCTTGTTGGGTAAGGCTGTATAAGGTTGTTGTCATCTAAATAGAAGGTAATATGAGACTAAATAAAATCCATCTGTAGAAAGCTACAAAAGCGAAAGCTGCCTGTTGAATTCGAGAATTAAAAGAGGAGATAATATCTCTTCTTTTCTATTAATATATATATTATATTTCAAAGACATTAACTACTTCAATGGTTGGTGGTCAGTCTGGATAATGAATTTAGCATCATCCAAGTAGCCTCTAAATTTCTCCACAGCCCACACAACTGCTAGAGCCTCTCTTTCTGTACTGTGATAGTTCATCCCAGCAGGTGTGAGTAGTCGACTTGCATATTCAACAGGTCTTTCATCGGCCTTTTCCCCTTGGAGTAGGACTGCCCCTAAAACGTATGAACTAGCATCAGTTCTGAGTATATAAGGCAATGTATTATCAGCCTGTCGGAGTATGGGATTAGTAGCCAAAAGTTGTTTCATAAGGTCGAAAGAATCGTGTTCTTTCTTCTCTCATTTCCAAATAGCTTTCTTCTTGGTTGAGGACGTTAAGGGCTTTGAAACTTCTGCAAATAAAGAAATGAATCGCCGGAACCAAGAGCATGTTTGGACAAATGACAAAAGCTCTTTCACATTTTTGAGAGGAGGTCTCTCCAGAATAGCGGTGAATATAGTAGGATCTGGTTGGATTCCTTGGGGTGTAATTACGTGTCCCAAATACTTCACAGGGGAGCACACAAAATGGCATTTGGATCGATTGAGGTGAAGCTTGAATGCTACAAGTCGGTCGAAAACTGGTCGTAAATCAAAAAGGTGTTCTTGGTAAGTCCTGGATAATACAATCAAATCGTCTATATAAGCTAATATGGTCAAATCTTGGAGTCCGAATTTGAATCGATCAATGAGTCTTTAAAAGGTAGAGGGTGTATTTTTCATTCCAAATGGCATCCTCGTATAACGGAAAATTCCAAATGGGCAAATAAATGCTGTTTTATCTCGATCAGATTCGCGGACAGAGACTTGATGGCACCTAATTTTAAATCAAGAGTGGTCGATTAGCTCGCTGGGCTTTGTCTTCACAGGCTTATAACATGATAATTGAATATACACCTGGAAAGGTGAATGTAGTGGTTGATACTTTATCCCGGCCACCACTAGAAACATCTCAGACAGAGTTAAATGAAGTTATTGTTGATTTGCCCAGAAAAAAAAGAAGACATTAGAAGGAAACAGTTAGAAGATCCGGATGTATTAAAAATCATTTCTTCTTTCGAATCACCGGATCCTGAATCAGTGGAATTTAAGACATGGATTGACCGCGGTTACATTATGACCGAAGGAATCTGAGAATGATATCCAAGAAGAAAAACAATTAGTGGTACCGAAAAGCAGGATTCCTGAAATTCTAGAAGAATACCACGATTCCCCCTTAGCTGGTCATTATGGTATTAATAAAACCACACAACGAATACGTTCCAGATACTTTTGGCCAGGAATGAGAAAAAGTGTTGTCGAACATGTGTCCAGCTATATTGAATGTCAGAGATATAAAGTGAGAAATCTCAAACCTGCTGGTTTAATACAAACACCTGCAAAGGCCAAGCGATTTGAAGTAATATCTATAGATCTCTTTGGACCTCTTCCTGAAACCGATACTGGTGAAAAATGCATCTTTATAATCGAAGACACTGCCAGCAGATGGATAGAAATATTTCCGCTCGCACATGCTACTGCCAAAGCTTGTGCGCAAACTCTTGTTTGCCTTGGTTTTCATCAGCACCTAATACCTGTGTATCATGCCGAGTCTAATCCTGTGGAACGGAAAAACCAACTATCAATTCTAGTAGGAGGCTGTCACACTCAATGGAAGAATAAACTACCCTCCGTGCGTTTTGCCATGAACACCTCAAGATGTGACAGTACTGGATATACCCTAGCCTATTTAACATTTGGACGAGATCTCCGCACACCCGATGATGTATAAAAGGACATGAGAGCTATCGCTGACAATGAAAATTTCATTCCTCAAGTTACCCCTTTTTTGATAAATATTGCTAGAACCTTGAGAAAAATAAGAGAGCTCCATGAAAAGTCCCAAGATAAATCAAAACATTATGCTGACCAAAGGAAAGGAACTATTCCCCATTACAAAGAGGAAGATCGAGTGATGGTGGATACACACCCAATTAGCAAAGCCATATATGCTTATACTTCAAAATTTGCTCCACGACGTGATGGTCCATATGAAGTTACTAAGGTTGTCATTCCAACAACAATTGAAGTTTAACCTCTAGAGCCAACTGAAGGTCCCACCGTCAAATTACATACGTCAGCTATGGCACCTTATGTGGGAAAAGGAGGAGTTCCAACACCAGTACGACCTATATGCCCACGTGGAAGACCCATGAGAAGACGCCTTATTGAAACTGATAATATACTTGAAGGTGACGAGGCCATTCCTCAGAAAAACACAGATGTACTGCATGCTGATGACAATGAGAGTTCTATCGAAGAAAAAAATGAAAATGACGATGAGCCCAGATTAGATGGATGACCCAGACGCCGCATTAAAGATCCAACTTGTTTATGTGGCGATCATACATCAAAAATTGACTTGGAGTATCTCCGAGGACCTAGGGAAACTCCAAAAGGAGAGATTGTAACCATTAAGACACCAAAACACCCTCTACCTCGGTAGAAAACTCCCAATGACGCTGTGTCCATGACCAGTCGAAAAAAAAAAGGTGTAAAAGGAATTGTCATCTCTGGGTGGAACAAAGAACCTCGGTGTAGACATCACTAAAGTGAAATATGTACGTTTTCCAAGCAATATACCTTTGCCAGAAGAACTGGATGTTTCTCTAAACTTAGCACAGTTCAAAGATTGGAAAATTATCTGTTATATCAAGGAGTGAATATCAATAACACTGGTCAGGTTACAGCTTTGCTATCCTCGGTGTTCACTCAGAACATTCTAGATGTCGTCCGATTTGTACTGAAAATCGAGATTTCCAATCAAATTACGGCCATTCATGTTCTAGAAGAACTGGAGAGCTATTTAGAAAAAAAAAAGAAAATAACCGAATCAGATATAGTCAGTTCATGAACCGTAAACAAGAACATGGCGAATCTTTCTCTATATTTTATAGAGAAAAATTGAAATTATTTCATTTGAGTGATCCCTGCTCACATTGTTTTGACCGGACAATCACAGATCATATGATAGAATACAGAAATCAGAAAAAAATTCAGAACACTACCGAAATAAGCAAATATCAATGATGTCAAAAGAATTTGTGAATTAGAAGAAGTCGCACAAATGGAAGAATTCCAAACAAATTGTTCTAAGGGTACACAAAATAAATAAATCAAAAGTAAATTCAAGAATTATCAAAAAATGTCCTAACAATGCATGGCATAAAAATTTGAAAGATTGCCCTGCAATAGACTCCATATGCAGCCGATGTAAAACAATTGGATATTTTTTGAAATATTGTCGTATACAAAAAACGTGGAATTTATTGACTGCTCAGAAGATGAATCATCAAAAATCGGTTTAGTGAAAATTGCCAGTGTTAACCAAAAGCATATTCTTCGTCAAATTGAGGTTGAAATTAGGCCACCAACTAAAAGCAATCACGTATTCCCTTTCGTGGCTACTCCAGATACCGGTGCAGAGGTAAGCGTGGTTGGTGAAAATTTTATTCAGAAAGCAAACTTTTCTTGACAAAATTTGAAAAAAAAAATCGTATAAGGCTTGAATCAGCTGATAGTACAAAGATCAAAGTATCTGGCTATAGCAACTGTCAAATTAGCTATGAAAATAACACAGCAGAAGTGAAAATTTACGTTTGCATGAATA